TTGGCGGAAGGAGAGGTGGAGGGAAAGCGGGGCGGCTCTCCCGGGTGCAGCGAGGGGACCCCGAAAGGGCTTCAGGGGAGGCGGGAGGGGCGTCTTTGGGAAAGGATCAGGCTCGGTCCCGCGAAGTCCCTTCACACACACACACACACACACACACCCCGCCGCCGCCTTCGGAGCCCTCCCGTCCCCAAACCCTTCTCCTGCCTTTTTACTCTTCCTCCCACCTACCCACCCACCCCCGCAGAGCAGTTCCTCTTCCAGGAGAAGGCCGAGTGCCACCATCGCAACGGGACGGAGCGGGTGCGCCTCCTCGAGCGCCACTTCTACGACCGGCAGGAGATCGTCCGCTTCGACAGCGACCGCGGGGAGTTCGAGGCCGTCACGACCCTCGGGGAGGACCAAGCCCGGTACTTCAACAGCCAGAAGGACTTCCTGGAGGACAGGCGGAGGGCCGTGGATTATTTCTGCCGCCACAACTACGGCATCTACGAGCCCTTCCTGAGAGCGCGCAAAGGCGAGTCCGGAAAGTTGTGCGTGTGTGTGCACCTGCGCGTGTGTTGATGGAGCAGGGAGAGGACAGGAGCAGAAGGATCTTTGTGGTGGTTCCTGAAAACAAAAGTCTCGTCGTTGTCGTCGTCGTCCTTCCATATAGAAATTCCATATATCTTTAGACTTTACCATTCCTCTTCTTATTTTCATTTCACATGTTAACGTATCTCTAATTGCTAAACTGCACATTTCTTTATACCTCTCGTCAAGATTAATTTGCACTTTTCCAATTCTTTGCAAATATTAATCTTGCTACTGTAACTATTATAGTTACTAATAGTTACTTACTGTTTTTTAATGTGGTTGTTCTTAATTATAATTAATAGAGCAATAATTGGTGACATTTGAATATTATAGCCAATAATTTCTCTAATTTCTCTAAAGACCAGTGCCCACTCTTTCTTTCTTATTTCACCCATCTACCACATATGCATATAGGTCCCTTATTATTTTTTTGCATCTCCAGCATTGAGATGGTATGTTTTTATTTATTATGCTCAATCTTGCTGGAGTTAAATACCATCTCCATGCTACCTTATAGCAATTTTCTTTTACCCTTATAGACATAGTCTTCATTATTCCTTGCCTTATTCCAGTCCTCTCCTTTAATCTCTTCTTTAAAATCTTCCTGTCACTGGTTTTTCATCATTATTTGGTCAGATACTGAATGCCCTAGCATGCTATAGATTATACTGTTTCCTTTCTTTTACTTCCTTCTTCTTGATCTTGTCTTTGTTCAATAATCTCCTCAAATTTTGTCAATTTTCTAATCTCTCTTTTTTTCTTGTCTACTCTCTTGTCCAACTTTCCATTTGAAGTATGTTTAACCAGGATATTCCCTCTTCTTTCCCCCAAATTTCCTTTATAATATTCTTATCTTTAATATTTTCCATCCAGCTCTTTTTTGTATTCAACCTTTTTTCTATTAATACTTGTTTATTTTTAAGAATTTTTGGGAAACTCTGAACCTCCACTACTTGTAATAATGGTGAAATAGGTGGACTCAATATATATCTATAATTATTCCAGAACCCTACCATATTCATCCGAAAGGCATTAGTTATTCTCTTTATTTCTTCTACAGTTCTTTCTTTAAAGAAGAAGCCTTTCATTCTGTCAGCGTATTCTGCATTTCAAGTTCCTTCCATATTAAGTTTCAATTTTGTACTCTAATATTTAATATATGTCTAAGTTGGTTTGCGATGTAATATGATCTAATATTAGGTAATCCAAGCCCTCCTTCTTTTTATGGAATATACCATAGCCTCTTATTAATCCTTGTTAGCTTATTTCAATTGCAGTATTTATTTATTAAATACTGCCAACCTAGCAGTTCGAAAGCATGCAAATGCAAGTAGATAAACAGGTACCACCTCGGTGGGATGATAATGGCGTTCCGTGTCTAGTCGCACTGGCCACGTGACCAGGGAAACTGTCTTTGGACAAACGCTGGCTCTATGGCTTGGAAACGGGGATGAGCACCGCCCCCTAGAGTCGAACACGACTGGACAAAAATTGTCAAGGGGAACCTTTACCTTTCTACCAAATCAAAACATTCTAAATTTTGGATAGTGATTTATCTGTTTATTAATTTCTTTCTTCAAATTATCCACATTTAGTTGAATTATATCTTGTAAATTCCATGTAATATAAATTCCTAAATATTTATTTACACTTTCTCTTCTTCCTTTAAATTCTTTTTTCAATTCCTTCTTGCCTACTTCTGAATGGTTTAATAAAATACATTTAATAAAATACATTCAGATTTCTCCCAATTCATTTTTAATCCAGTTGTTCCTTCAGATAAATTTAATGTGTTTAATTTTCTGCCATGTTTCTTAATTATTAATAATGTATCCTCTGCAAGGAAATCTATTTTGTCATACTCTCTAGTTCCTATACCACAAATTAAATGATCATTTCTGATTATATCTGCCAGCACTTCTATTACTGGTGTAAATAGGGTTGGAGATAAGGGGCATATTCATCGATGTATGCTCTTCTCCCCTTAGTTTACCTTGTATTATTAAGTACCTTCCTTGTGTGTCTTTTTTCCACCTTTGCAGTTTTAAAACCACATACCTGTACTATTAAACAGATTCATCATGAAGATCCAGGAGAGTTGATGTTTTTCTGCAGCTGTTTAGCTGCATCTGGGTCCCTTCACTGTTAATCTTTCAGAGTTGTCATTTTAGAACTGTTGATTCTGGTGGTGAACCTTCCCTTTTTGTGACTCTCCCTTCCTCCCCCTGCCAGCCTTTCCACCTTTCAAACCCTTCCCAGCCATTCCCACTTTAAATAAAACAGAATGAAATACAGAACTCTTCCTGGATAGTTGTTGTGGGTGTTTCGGGCTCTTTGGCCGTGTTCTGGAGGATGTGGGGTGGCTGTAGGGTAATCGGCTTTGTAGTCATGCCGGCAGACTGTCTGGGGCTCCTGGCGAATTCCATGGGCTTCCTCTCACTCCTTCGAAATAGATGTATGTGTCCCCTGACACACACACACACACTCCCCCTTCCCTAACCCTCTCCTTTCTTGTTGATGTCCCTCTAGTTCAGCCCAAGGTGAAGATCACCCCCTCAGAGGACTCTTTCTCCTCCTCCTCCCGCCACACTTTGCTGATCTGCGATGTGGCCGGATTCTGGCCTTCTGCCATCAAAATCACCTGGTTCAGAAACGGGGAGGAGGAAGACGAGGCCAAAGTGTTCCACACGGATCTGACCCGAAATGGAGATTGGACCTTCCAGATCCAGGTGATGCTGGAAACTCAGCTGGAACATGGAGACGTCTACACCTGCCAGGTGGAGCACGCCAGCTTCCCAGAGCCCGTCACCATCCAGTGGGGTGAGAGTGAAATCTGAGGTCCATCTGTATTTCCCACCCACCCCCTTCCTCTCCCCATTGTCCTGGGCTTAAGTCTCAGAGTTGGAGGCAAAGGACTCATGGCGGGTGGTGGGTGGAGGCACCAATCCCCCTTTCTCACTGAGATGTCCTGTTTTCCTGCAGAAACGGATTCCTCCAGGAGTAAGATGTGGACAGGAGTGGCAGGATTTGTGCTGGGGCTGGTCTTTCTGGCACCTGGACTCTGTCACTACGTGAAGACTAAAAAAGGTGAGTGCCAAGAGTAATGCGATCTATGTTTGTGAATGAAGTAGAGGACTAAGTTATCTGGGGGGGGGGGTTTCCTCTCCTGTGAACTGCTCTGTTTTTGGCCCCTTGACTCCTTAGAGCTAGTTTAAAAAGTTAACGACGTCTAACTAGGAAAAGTATCCAGTGTGGGGTTGTGGACAGAGTGATGGACTAGGGCTCTGGAGAGGAGGGTTCAAGTCTCTCTGGTGGAACTCAACTGGTAAAATCACTCCTTTACTATCCTGCTTACCTCGAAAGCTCTGTTGGGGCCCCTCTAAGTGGGTTCCAGCTTCATAGCACAGAACATCAACAACAAGGGGGGTGTCAGAACAGATTGCCCCCTCCCATCTCAGCCTAGCTCAAGGACCTCTGGGACAGGAAACATCTGTTTCTCAGCCCCCAGCCCCAAACACAGGTTACGGACAGCCAACTGACTTAAGAAGGGCTTTGACTCTTATGGGGACCCAAGACAGCTTTTCGTAGCCCGCCATTCCATAAAGTGGTCCACCAGATGTCCTAGGAGGAAGTCCACCGTGATGAACACAACACAGTGTCACTTCCCCAGGAAAGAATACGTGGAGGAGAGCTGCTCTAGATGGAGGGGGGGGGAACCAGCTTGACAAGAAGCCAGGGGTGGCTCTGATCTCCATAAATTGACCCATTCCCTCTTTGTAAATGTTCCAGATTCATAGAATCATAGAAAAGTGAAGTTGGAAGGGGCCTGCAAGGCCATCAAGTCCAACCCCCTGCTCAAGGCAGGAATACAATGCAAGATTGTTTATCCCTGCTGCTTTATAGGGTAGTGTTAACAAAAGGGGGTGGGGAAGAGTCTGTACACAACTCAGTACAGCTTGCCCAAGGTTACACAGGCTGGCTCTTCTCCCAGGGGGCAAAGCAGGGATTTGAATTCCCAACCTCCGGCTCTTCTGCCAGATAAACTAAACCACTAAACTATCCAGCCTCTGTATCTCTACTGGATCACTAAAGACAAAAATCATGGACACATGCTAGCTTTCAGCCTACACTGGGACAATTCATTCAGCATTGCCAGAGAGAAAGAGAGAGAGAGAGAGAGGCAGGCTGGCTCTTCTCCCAGGGGGCAACGCGGGGATTTGAACTCATTACAGCTGTTAAAGGGAGAGAGAGAGAGAGAGAAAGAGAGAGAGAATGTTTGTGTCATCTTTAAAAGGCTCTTGTCCTTTTCTCTTTCAGGGCAAGCCGTTCGTCAACCTCCAGGTAACTCTTCTCCCGCTTCTCGCTTCTTGCATCTTTCAGACTCTTGACACCTCCCCAGCCTCCCCATCAGGACAGCTCAGCACCTCAGGCTCTTGTCTTTTTCTCTTTCAGGGCAAGGCATTCACCAACCTCCAGGTAACTCTTTACGCATCTTTCAGCCTCCCAACACCTCCTAGCCTCCCCATCAGGACAGCTCAGCACCTCCTGAGTTGCCTTTGCTTCATTTTCAGCCCCAGGGTCCACAGAGCAGGAAGACGTTGGGTGAGGGAGACTTGACCTATGAAAAGAGAGGTTTCCCTCAATGCCCTCGTTTTGTGCTTCATGGGCCCATTTCCAGAGTTTGCATGACACCAATCAGGCAGACCTCCTTAGCAAGGGCAGGAGAGCAGAAGGGACCTCTACACACACACTTTGAAATTCCTCCCAGAGAACGCCATTTGTCCTCTTTCCAAATCTCACCTGTGTTGCTACCTCATCTCCTTCACACCTCCTCCTCCTCCTCAATAGGTGGCATAGCAGCCCCATGAGATCTTGCCCCAGACCATTAGAGTTAATTCAACAACATTGAAGTGCATTGAGATACCTTACCCAGTTCTGCAAATGGAGAGCAGAGAAAGCTTGTGCTTGAAATAATTGTCAGTCCTGGTAGAGATTTTAAAGCCCCAGACAGTCACCCCGTGGATACCATTTTTGACTCTGTATCTGAGGCTGGAGCTGGAATCAAGCAAGATTTATGACCTGTGGGTTTATCGGTTTCCTTTCTTTCTTCTGTGCCCACAGACGCCCTGATGAACTAAACTTTCCATGATGTAGAGAAGCAGCTTTCCTTCCTGCCAGTGGCTGTCTTTCCTCACTAAGAAGATGCAAACGCTGGAGGGTGCAGATAACCAAAAATAGTTCTATCTGCACTCTTCCAAAACTGGCCAAGGTTTTGCCTTTGATTTCTTTCTAGTGTTGCGTGCAAAAGTTTTCATGGGACATCTTCCAGGTTGGGGTGAGGGCAGAGCTGAATCCTGCTCTGTTACCATACGCTGTGCTCCCTGCATGTGTTCCTACAATCTGTCTGTGTACATTAAAATGTGTATATTGAAATAATTGCAACTTGGAGGGGGAAAAAAACCAAATCCCACTTTGTGGGCTGTGGGGCGTGGCATAGGGAAGATGAAATATCCTGGGTGTTTTTCTTGCACTCATTTTGTTGACAACTGCCTACTGGGCCAAGGAGGGTGGAGGGAAGAGGTGTGCAGGTCTCCTGCTCTGGGTTCCAGGAATGCCATCGTCTTCCATGTCCCACCACCTCCCCTTCTTTGAGACCTCAAAATGAGGAAGGTCAGATCCAGGACCGTCTCCTGGAGCAGGACAAATGTTGTACGTGTCAGAACAGATGTGGACCCAAATCCAGTCCCCAAGGTTGTCCTTTGGGAGGGGGACAATGGTTGGCCACTCTCCCTCTGGTCTCCTGTTTCGGGGAGATGGACCTCCCCGATCTGGTTTGTTTGCAATACTATCAACAAGCCAGCGGCACACTGGCAGTCGATCTCTGACGCTCAAAAACCTCTCCCTGTAGTGTACGCCTTAGCTGTCGCAATGAAACAATTCCTTTTGCAGATCTTGATCACATTTCTGGAGCATGTTTTCCTGAATAAAATGCTGTGTCGCCTCTCTCCATTGTCCAGACTGCATCCTTCCTCCAGGAGAACCGCACACATGGCAGAATGTGGTTTGCATGGGAAACAGCTTCCACCCTGCCACGTTCCGTGAGCCCTGCCACACTTTAAAATCATGCCCAGGGCACCCTCTTTTTAAAGGGCAGGCGGGCTTCCGGTGGGTGGGGGAGCCCTTCCTTCTTCTCAGGGCTTGCTCGTCCAGCAGTGGCCGGATGGGGGCGGCCAGGGAAGGGGGTGGCAGTAAGTGCAGCAGTGACACCCCCCCCACTGCCACCACTGCCAGCTCCCTCCCAAGCTGCCACCAGCCAGGCAAGCCAGCCCTGCAGAGAGCGGAGGGTGGCCAAGTCCTCTCCAGCTCCAGGTGCTGAATCTCACCCTCCGGGCACAATGACCTCGTTGCCAGGGCTTTGAGTCTTCTGAGTTCTCTGGACACTGTCCCACCAGCATCCTTCCTGCAGGGGGTGGGGGGTGTCCGTTCCACCTGACGCTCCATTTTCAGGAGGTGTCAATAGCGAGGTTTCGCTCCGCTTTGCAGGTCACTTGCAGCCAAAAGCTTTCTGGGGGTTCTCTGCAAAGGCCTGTTTCCAGCTATAATGGGGGGTAGGGGGTGGGGTGGGCGAATGGAGGCAGCCAACTGGTCAGAGGGATGGCGGTAGGAGTCACCATTTCTAGTGCTCAAATTATACGAAACCCAGGCCTCAATGTGAGCCACATTGGCGTAAGCGAAATTGGCAAAGAGTTCTCAAACCACGCCAGCCTCCACGTTCCGCAGGACTCTTCCTCCTCAGGGGCGGCGGTGGGTGGGGAGAAAAGGGGGTTCAGCCTGCCTGGGGGGCCAAAGCGTCGCCTGCCGGAGGCTCCCCGTATGGCTTCCTTTCGGCTGGGCTACCTGTTTCAAAGGGACGAGGCGCCTGCTCCCAGCTCGCCCTCCCGCCCCCTGGGGAACCCCATGAAACCCTTCTCGAGGGAGCCCGGAGCGGTGGGTTCCGCAGGCTCGCTGCTCCTCCTGCCCTGCCCGCTTGCGCGCCTGCCCGCTCCGGGCCAACCTGGAGGAGGCGACCTGCACCGGAGGTGGTGGTGGTGGTTGCTCCTTGCAAACCGCAGAGGGGCTGGGAGGCCAAGTGGCTCCGCGAGGAGGAGGGGCGGTCGGATCGGGTCCGCTTCCCGATGCGTCTCTCCCGACACGGAGCGCAGCCGATGGCGTGGGGAAGCGAAACCGGAGCCCGACGTTGGCTGAATTTCCCCCGCTTGCTGAGCTTAACAGTTTTGTTCTGTTCATCGGCTGTGCTTGGTTAATGCCTTCTTCCCAATCACTTTTCTCTCTCTCTTGAGGCAGGATCCGTCCCAGGGACTTTGCTAACTGAGGTCCATAGGCTGGGAATGTGAGCTTGGCCAATCAGAGCCTCCGATGGTGTCCTCCATTGGGGGGGGGGAAGCTGCTTCCAGAAAGGGGACAGGCATGGCAGGATGACTCCAGTGGGACGCGCTCCTCAACAGCTACAGCAGGAGGAGGAAGGGGTTTTTCGGGGGGGGGCGCCTCTGCCCTCTGGCCTGGGACCTTCTCTGTGGCCCTTCCAGGTCAGGCAAAGTTCCCTTCCTTTCCTGCAAATCTTTAGCCATTTACAATTCAAGAATCAAATACCAAAAAATCCTGATAATACTGTATAAGAATTCTCATCAGTAAAACTATTTTAAATTTTAAAGGGAAAAGACTGCCAGGGACACAACTGACTGAGCAATTTAGAGGGAGGGGAGCTGGATGAAGAAGTGGGTTCTGGAACCCCCAAAGCTGCTGGGCTCCGTGTTTCCCCGAATCCCACCAGGGGAGGGGATCCCAGGAAGGGTGTTGTCACCACAAAGGAAGTCCCACCTCCAGGTTGTCCCTGCAAGACCATCTCTCGGTTCTGTTCTTAGGTTCAGATGGAAGCTGATTTCTCCATCGCTTCCTGGCTGAGCGTGTGTCCTTGACGTGGGGCATGTGCACGGATCAAGATGTTCTTCAGGGATGGTACCAGTGGGCAGATAGTGTCTCTGTTGGGGTGACCAAGGACCGAGTTAGGGGGATACCCATGGAAGGATGTGAAAGCCCCAGACACTTGCCCTTGTGACACTGATTTTGCCTCCATACCTGCAGCCTAGCAAGATTCAAGGGCCTCGTTTCTCCTTTACATCTGGGTTAATCTGTCTTCTTTCTTCCTTCTGGGTTTTCTTCTTCAGAGCTGAGGAGTTCAACTTCTGATGATGCAGAGAAGCAACTTTCCTTCCTGGCAGTGGCTGCCTTTCCTCCCTAAGAAGATGCAAAATTTGTAGGGGGCAGATTAACCAACAAAGCCTTACCAATATTGTTACATGTGTAGCCTAGAGATCATTAAACTGGAAACTGCCCAGAGATATAAATGGCATCACTTAAGCTGTCCTGGAGCTTTTTGCTTCTTTTTTTTGCTTCATGATTTGCTACTTTGCATTTTGGCTTCATCTCTTTCCCCCTAGTCTAATATGTGGTCTTTCCCCATTAAAAAAATAAATAAATCACTTAATGCCGGGTTTCCAGGTTGTGGCTTGTTGCACCACCTGAACACCATGTTTGTTTGGATTGGAAAGCTGTCCCTATAACTGTGGTGCAACCTGCTCAGTTGTGTGCTCTTCCCAAAGAATTTCCCCTCTTTCTCTCTTCCTAAAATGCAAGGGAAATATGGAGCAAAGCCAAACACAGGAATACATCATTCATGGAGAAACACACACCTATGGGAAGCCCTTTCCCCTCCCTCCCATTCCCAATCATTGAACTGATTTCTCCTACTCCTACATACTCCTGTGTTAAAAAACTTAATTCATTAAATAACCTATAGTGTCAGTCTTGGAAGTCTATTTTGGATTGAGCATCACCTCACTCTGGCTTCATGGCTAAAAATTTATAGGAAGGAGGAGAAACGGGAGCACTTCCTCAGGGAACAGCCCAGGAACAGAGTGACCCCTTCCTGAACCACGTTTCCTACATGGCAGGGTTCGAGGTATTCTTCAGCTGAAGCCCCGTACAGAACATAAGTCTTCTAAACCATGAGTCTTCTCCTGTAAAAGGCATACATTTCAGGCTCCTGCAGCTGGAAGATCAAACTGGTAAAGGCACAAGCGGGGTGTACAGAAATCTGAGGTGATGGGGTTGCCTTCAGCAGGCAGGGATCCGGGGACTTCAGTGCTACTCATGAGCAGGTCCTCCTTGTGGATTCTAGCAAGGGATTCTAACAAGGGTCACAAAGAAGGAAGAAAGAGGCCAGGCGGGGCTGGGCAGAAGTTTACTGGTAGCTGGAGGAGCTGGGTGGTCCAGCTCCAGTTATCTGGGAAATGAACAAAAGGGAGCTGTTGTTGATATTTAAAAAAATCTATAAATGTATTAAATATAAATGTTGTCTAGTGAATGTAAAATGGCTGATGTAATCTGAACCTTGTACAAACTTGATTCAGGTGTGTATCAAGGTTGCAGCTGGAGAAAATGATGTGATCTCATGTAATGTCCAGTGATGTAATGCACATTGTAATTGACCCCTAGATTTATAAAATAAATGTGTTAAGTTAAGGGGACACGTTATCTGCTGTAAGTCAGATAATTGATTCTGTATCATGTTATGTACGTATGATGTTTTGCTGCCAGTTTCATGTCTGAAATCTAAAACTGCTGATTTTCACTCTCAAGTGTTATAGTGTCATTGCAACTTTATAGTTCCTAACTCTGCTTACATCCAGAAACATCAAGAAATTCTCAGCAGGAGCCATCATCCCCTCCTTGGCAAACAGCCCTTAGAGATGTTCTCAGAAGATTTGGCCCCACGAGTTCCTTCTGAGGAAACGGGTTTAGGATTGCACTGCCCTTTGTGGCCCTCTGAGGAATGACACCCACCCCACCCTTTTCGCTTTGGCTCCACCCATTCTGTCCCTAACCCCACCCACTGACCACTTAGACCTGCCCCTATTGAAACGTGGCCCTTAAGACTCTTCCCAGGTTACAGATTGGGTCTCCCAACCAAATAAAAAAAATGAAACACCCCTACTCACCAATCCCCGGTATCGGAAGAATATTTATTTATTTATTTATTTATTTATTTATTTATTTATTTATTTATTTATTTATTTATTTATTTATTTATTTATTTATTTATTTATTTATTTATTTATTTATTTATTTATTTATTTATTTATTTGTTTGTTTGTTAGTTAGTTAGTTAGTTAGTTAGTTATCTGTTTACTGTATTTGTTTGTTTGATTGATTGATTTCTGTACTGCCCATCTGGCAACCCAGGGCACTCTGGGCGGATTACACAGTACAGTACAATAAAACAAAAATCTAAAGGCAGAACAGTACAATAACAGGACAGTAATACAGAATAATGAATAAAGTATAAACAAGTGAAAATAATATCAACAAAACATTAAAGTACAATAAGGAAAGCACGGTGGAGGGTTAAAAGTTAGCGAATACCTGGTTATTTAAGTGCTGTTGTATCAGGGTATCATAGAGTCCGGGAAGGCCGCTCTGAATAACCATGTTTTTAGTGATTGCCTGAAATTTCCCAATGAAGGAGGCAGGTGGATTTTGGGGGGAAGAATGCGGAATACACATTTTTATGGCTGAAGTGGGAGGACCCTTTTCATTCTCCCTCTGTTTGATGTTTTGACATACTATGTGTTCCAAAATCAAAACCGATGCTTTCTTGAATTGCCGATTGATCTACCATGGAGAAGAATTTAAACCAGGAAATGGAGGGAAAAGCAGACTCTGTGAACGAGGATCTCTTCCAGCCATTTCTGATCTGTGTTTGGGCTCTTCAGTCCTCCAGCAGAAGATGAATCTCAGAGCGTCACTCCCTGTTCCAGTCGCAGGATGGAAAAGGGTGGAGGAGAAGCCCTTTCATGCCTCTTTCAGAAGTAGACGGTGTCATTTCAGCATACGAAAAGCGTAGGACGTGCGCATGTGCAAAGGCTGCAGGCTGGCACCGGGAATGGAGGTCAGCCTGCTTTCTTTGCACATGTGCTGACCTATCAGCTGGGTGGCGCATGCACACTCTGGGTCGAGAATCCCATGCCTCTGGGGGCAGGACTGATGACTTGGGGACTCAGAATTGGGACTTGGGACTCAGTCACGAAGACAAGCTGACATCGGATGGTCACTGAACTGGGGCTAATTATTGCTCCTGTGATGGTTGGCCTCCTTCATCTTCCTGGCCTTGAAGAAGAGGGCGGGACCAGCAACGATGCCCAGAACAGCAAAGGCCAAGCCCAGGCCACAGACCACCGTGTCTGTTGTCTTGGGAGGGGGAGTCGGTTGCCTGGGATCTGGAAAGCAAAGGAAGAAAAAGGAGAGCCAGTGATTAAGGATGGACTCTGGTCCTGTTTTCATTTCTTCTGTTGTCCTTTCTTGGCTAAGGAAGAGAACCCAGGAGTACTGCTGGTCTCTGCTCTGTGAATCCAAAGCTCCAGATTACTCTCCTCTTTTGTTCCCTCCCCCAAAATGTCTCTCTGCTGTGTCCTACCTATTCTCCTGAAGGGTCCCGTCACCCACAAGTTGTCACTACCCAGGATGAGATCACAGCACACACCTCAGAAAAATCCCCAGTAATTTGCATGCATTGGTCAGATCCTAAGAATATTGGTTTTAATCTAGATTTCAGACTTAATCCTGCTTACGCCATTCCCATATCAGACTCTCCTGGAGGCCCCAGTGGTCCACTTTGCAGGCGTAGAAGTCTCCTTCCTTTGGGATGAAGGTCAGGTAGGAGAACTTGCGGAAAGTGTTGTCCACGCTGGAGTAAAACACTGTCTCCTGCATGCCTTTTGAGACCACCTCCTCGTTCTTCAGCCAGGTGATGTTCAGCACTGGGGGGAAGAACTGGTCCACGAAGCAGATGAGCACGTTGGGGTCCCCCAGTTCCACTGGCTCTTCAGGGTACACTGTTACTGAAGGGGGGACTGAGAAAGACCCACAAGAGTTAGTCATCTGTTGAATCCAAAGCCTCGTTTCCTCCAGCATGACCCCCATGAACTGGTTAGAACTGGCAGCCCTGCCCGAAAACTGGGAATGCCTCTCGGTTGATGAGCAGAACGTCTCTCCCTGTAGAGACCCCACCCAGCCCATCAGAAACCCCCTTTTGTGCTGATCCAGTGGGAACAGCTGGAGCCAAATCAACCAGGGGAAATCTATGGGATGTCTCCATTTGCTGCATAACAGGGTAGAAATGGGAATACCTCACTTCCTTTTTGGCCACAATTTGCTAATGTCATCTTTGGTGAGGAAGGAAGTCTGTGTTGACCCTCATACTTGGTAGTTGGCATGACCCCCGCCCCGCCCTGTCTTGACTAATTAAATTAACATAGACCCCTCCTCTATCTCCAATTGCTTTACTGCCTTTAAAAAAAATAAAGCACCATAGGTTTCTGGCAAAATCCATCTTGCCATGAACATTTGGACTTTTAAGTTCTCCGCAGTGGAACACGCCCGAGGAAGCGGTCCTGGTCCATGAAATCTTGCAAGACTGTATGAAGATTTTGCAGTGGTTTACAAAGGTATTGCCTACTCTTGCACCAGAGTCTGGGGCATCTAAGTGGAAGGATGCTCAGTTGAGCTCCTCCTCTTGACCTCCATTTCCTTCCTCTTTGCCATCTGGCCTGAGAGAACCCATTTTTCTTTTTAGCATTTGAAACCTTTCTCCTTCATTCCTTCTGCTGACCCCTGAGAGCCTCAACTTTTGTGGGTCTTATTGCAACCCCTGTAATCAAACTCAAGCCTGCAGTTTGCAAGTTTTCAGTGAGTAAAGGTCTTTTTCCCTTTCCCCCTGAAAAACAGTGTCTGACTAGTCGTTTAGGCTGGCTAAATGCTGTTGGAGGAGTTTGTTTCTTGTCAAGTTGCTAATCAGTCTTAACTCCCAGCATGGCTAGTCTTTTTACTGCACAGTTAAGGGAATTAGAGATACTCCTAGCTGCCCGCATCACAACGCCCATGTACACATCACTCCAACATCTTTCCTCCTACCGTTTGGGACCTGGGTTCGGTTGCTGCGCTGGATCATAATCCCCAGATTGTTCTTCATGGTGGCCAGGTTGCTGAGGGCTGCTTGCGTGTCAAAGGACACAAAGCGCTTGAAGTCCGGCAGCCTCCAGATGGTTTCCTTCTTCTCCACGTCCACGTGAAAGGTCTCCTCGTCGTTAATCTCAGAGAGGAACTGGCTGGACTCCTTCCCGGATGGGAAACTCTCCTGATAGAAGAGCATGTACAGAGTCATGTCCTTCACTGAACCAGGGTGGAAAAAGAGGGAGGGATGGAGGGAGGGAGAAAAGAAAAAGAACTGAGGGTGAGGGGGCTCAGAGGCATTCAAACATGAGGGGAAGCCTCACAAAGATGGCAGGTCCTTCTGGAGCTAATGAAGGCAAGATGCCACCAGGTAAGTCTGTGGGAGAAAGAGGACCGGGGGTGGGTGGGTGTGTCACACCTTCCGTTCCCTTGCCTTGCCTCTTTCTTAACCTGAGAAAGGGCTTCTCTGCTCTGCCCATCTCCTGAGTTTCTCTGAGGGCCAAAACAGTTTCAGGTGGACTTCCCCTGCTCCAGAAAGCCAACGTCCATCGACTGTTGGAGTGAAATCCTGAAGACCCATCGGCCATCCTGAAGACCCATCCCTCCGGGATGTGGGCCAAGTGAGTTCTTGCTGTCTTTCCAAACGGAAGACCGCACTCCTAAGCTGTTAAGGATTTTTCTCATTTAACGACGGGTCACTGACAACGTCCTGGCGGTGCCCTGATGGTCTCGGAGCGAGGGAGATCTCCCTCTGTCACGGAGCCTCACCTCATCCCTTCTTGCCCTTGGCGGTTGGGAGGGAAAGCAAGCCGTTTCTCCCGGTTGGCACCCCACAACTTCCTCCCTGCCCTTCCAGGGCCAACTCGTCTCATGTTCACGGAAACCTGGGACGTTCTCACGACCCTCGACTCCCGTGTCTTAGGACCCCAGCTCCTTCCCTCCAAACGCCCCGGGCCCCTCACCTTCCACGGCCGGGACGAGCGGCAGGCTCAGCAGGAGCGCCCAGAGGCCGAGGCGAAGGGCTTCCCCTCCGGCGGCCGGCCCAGCCTCCACCATCTTCGAGGGCTGACGATCGCAGGATGCGGCCAAAAGCAAGGCGGCGGCCGGAGGGTGGGAGGACGGCCAAGACCAAGGGGCAGCCACGGCCAATAAGAAAAAGGCGCGGGCGGTGACCACCTTGTTGCCAGGCGAAGCTTCTAGAGGCAGCGCCTCGACGGTATCTCCGGGTGGAGAATGTCCGGGTGGGGTGGGTTTTGGTGTGGCCGGATGCGTCTTTCTCGGAGTGTGCGTGTGTGTGTGCGTGTGTGAAGAGATGGGTTCCCTTTGGCCGGTGGGGAAAGGGGAGATCCTGATGGAGGTGGCCTGGCTCGTCCAAGGAGGGGGGCGCAGGGCCGCCCCTTGACCGTGGGGTATATGTGTGTATCATTGCCCCCCCCCTCTCTCCAGAAGAGGCGAAGGCGATGCGCACGAAAGGGCCAGAGACTGCCTTCCCTTGTTTATAAGCCGCCTTGGGTCCTTTGCAAGGAAGAAGTCGGGGAAATAATATTTTAAATAAAGAAAAAGAGAGAAAAAATTGCGCGCGAGAGGGGGGAGCTTGAAAGCGGGAGATGGAGCTCTAGAAACAGGCGCCCGCGCCCGCACGGAGGTCATGGCTGGGCTGGTGGGAGAGAAGGAGAGAAGGATAGGGCAGCTAAGCCGGAGTCCTCTCATTCTCTCTCTCTCTCTCTCTCTCTCTCTCTCTTTTTCTTTCTTTCTTTCTTTCTTTCTTTCTTTCTTTCTTTCTTTCTTTCTTTCTTTCTTTTTTTCTTTCTTTCTTTCTTTCTTTCTTTTCGGTGGGTCATTCCTTC